GTGCGTATGTCAGTGGCAGCTGGTCAATAGGAGGGTGCAAGGGCACCGCCCCACCACTACTTTTTTGCACACAAAAAAATTAAAAAACAAATAAATAACTAAATAAAATGTTATGAATGTTTCAAAAACACCGTATATACTACGTTTTGTGATAAGTAAAATAAATAATTTAGAGTTATTGATGTGTAAACTTCCATTTTACTCACAAGCTTTTTCATGTTGAGTCACTTCCAGGTCACGGGCCGTTCRCCACCCCATAGTCCAGTAGGAAAGTCATTGGAAGATTTTGGACATGCGCACTAAGTCCCCACTGCAAAATAATACAGTAGGTTGTAGCGCAGCTTCTCACCGCCCCGCAGCTGACCTCTCGTATTCATTTCTATGGGGTCCACCGTCGACGATTCAACGTCATATAAATGCGGCAGCCCTGCTAGCTGCTACAGGCAGATTTTGAAGAACAAACTAGAACGAAGGAGAAAACAATACCATAAGTCTYTTATTTCTAAACCTTTTCAAAGCAGAACACACAGTATGAGGAGGAACTTAAAGTGAAGTAGCTTGGACCGGATAAGCCAAACATAATAAAAATTGAGCAATAACATGGTTTAGCATTAAGGCTTGGCTACATGCTGTTAGCCATTTTGTAACTACTGCTCGTCCTACATCTGAATGAATGAAATATTCTCATTGAATACTTTACTCTAAACAAAGTTGAATGTGCTGACAACTTGTGAAATTGTTTGTCATCGGTGTTACTTCCTAAGTGGACAGGTTGATTTACATGGAGTAATTGTGTTGGTGTTCCCTAATGGTGAACAAAACTTAATATAATATAAAATATTTGTATGTTTTAGTTTAGTTTAGTTTTTTATAAATTACTATTGTTTGAATTTATTCTTTAAAAAGGGGCAGATATTAAAATATATTTTTTCTTCTTACTGATTCCTTTCATTTTATTTATATATATATTTTCTTCTGTTGTGCATAGTTTATTTTGTTTTTTTTCATAAAATGAATACATTTTAAAATAAACATATAA